GTCCCAAATGATAGACTTGTTGATGAGATCCTTGAGAGTCTTGAAGTCATTTGGTGTAAGAATCTTATCCTTCACATCTTCCTTCAATCCATCAAAATAGGCATGGCGGAGCGCCTCATCATTCCAATGAAGAAAGGCTGCATGCTTTTCAAAGAGAGCCGCATACTCTGATGCTGACTTGTTTTGCTTGAGTGTCTTGAGTTTGTGACGTGATGTCTCAATGATGTCGGAATCACCAAATGTCTTTTCAAATTCCTTTTTGAAAGCTTCCCAGTTGTCAACCCATTCAGGACGAGTTCCAGTATGGTTCATAGCATGAGGCATGTACCACTGATAAGCTTCATCCTTGAGGAGATTTGAGGTGAAGGCAATCTTGGATTGATCAAGAGCATAGGTGCGGGGCTGGGTATTGAAGACTGTGTCACACTTCAAAAGAAATACCAGAGCTTCATCTTTACGGCCACTGAAGGGCGGTGGTGAAGTTATCTTTGGTTCCTTTGTGAAGGTGGGAGTGGAGTGAGAGTGAGAGTGAGAGTGAACCTGTGCATTAAGTAGTTCTTGTTCAAGATGGATGATGCGGGCTTGCATCTCCTGGAGGATATCTTCAGCAGAAGGGATGACTTGGGGTTGGATGTCAGGAGTAATGGGGATAGGGTCTGACATAATCAATTACTTAGCTGAAGTGTTTATACATTATTGTTTTGTTTTATCAAATTCTAATTGAAGACCAAAATGTTTTCTTAATTTCTTTCTCAAACTGAAGTGAAAGATGTACTATAGTTGTTTCTGTTTATTGAAGACCAAAGTGTTCTTAGTAGTGTTGAAGTTGATGATTGTTTCTTGAAGCTGTTTAACAAGGGTATAAACTAGACCTAAAGAGTAGTAGACAAGCAAGGACAAAGGAGTGAGTTCTTGATACTGTCAAGGATACTGCCCACCCTGGGACAGAGGACAAAGGACAAGGGGACAAGGACTAGGAGTGACAAGGAATATACTTAAGATAACAAGACTGAGTCCAACAAGGAATGGGACTGTGACCCAAGGAATGTCTCTGGCTTGTCTTACAAGGTTAGAGGAACTGGACTGGACTCCAAAAAGGGTGGCAATGGAAATGACTTTTGATCAAGAACTAAAGAAGACTACAAAGTACAAGATAGGGTTTATATAGACAAATCAGCCTTTTCCAAGAGGCTCGTGCAGACCTGCGGAATACGAGCGTCCTGAACCGTCCTGCACTGTCCTGCATGCATTGCCTTGCATCCCACCGATAACCACTGATATCCTACGATGCCATATCTGCGTTTACCTACGTCCTACTATGACATCCTACGGGATGCGCCGGAAGTCGCTCGACTTTGTCGAAGGTGATCGATGAGGAACTATGCAGACCATAGAAGTGCTGCGAGAACAAGAGACTGAGAGATTATGCCTTAGCAGGCATTAGAACAGAGGGACTAGAGACTAGAGAATTACTGGGGACTTATGCCTTGCAGGCATGGGAGCTAAGCACCGACATACTAGAATGATACTTGGAGTTTATGCCTGATAGGCATGAGAGCAGAGGTGAAATATTAAAACACGGAAGTGGAGGTTGAACTTGTTTTGCGCAACAAGGAACACGTGATGGCGTCATTCATGACACTCCAATATCCCCTTCAGGGAGAAACAAGATGACATATCACAGCTCAAGAGCTTGAGTCAAATCCTAATGATTGGAAGAATCACATCCTTCATGCGTACCACAGGTGAAGTCCCGATATTTGTATCTCCTCACACTCACCGAGCCGGTCTCCAACGAATACACTTTTACCTCTCTTTCTTCCGAAAACGACTGAGGAGTCACGCACATTCCGACATACAGGCCCAGGCGCAGTCCCTTCACATCATGTGACCTTCATATAATCTAGAAGCCATTCTTTCCGTTTACCTTCAATCACATCAAAGAAGGCAAAGCTGAATGACATGTATACTTGAGAACGACCGGAAGTCGGGTTGGACAAAAATGGTAATTATTGTGGTAATCTTACCACGTAGGGACTCACAGAATTTATCGATATCCGGTCAGAAAATCACTATTCAACGTTTATACAAGAGAGCCCACAGTATGGTCTTGCTTGTGGGTCGAGAATGGAAGTGAGGTGAGTCATCAATATCAATGTCTTACCGCTATGTGAACATTGTCGTGTGGGGAATAATCTACCCTCAGTTGTCATAGACGATCCTTCTCCAGTAGTCCGTGAAGGGAGTCATAACTGCCATTACTCATTGTCAATCTGTAACGGTACTGGAAACACGATGACTAGGTCGCAGGTTGGGTTGAACTCGATGGAGGTCTCGTAGAAATCTAGGGGCTCTGGTGCTAATGGATCGTGTCTCCTCTGCAATCGATGTAGCCAAAGAATGATATTGAAGAATCAGCAAAGTTGGTACTTTGCTGATTGTACTATATACTGTCTACAGGTGTCCGTGTCCTCCTCTCAGTCCTACTGCAAGCGTCTATGTACATACTCGGACAGGTGAAAAACCGCTTTTGAGCAGACCCAGTGGGGAAATCTCGAAAAGGGAAAACCCGTCCCTACCTACTGCAGCACTGCCTCCAACTCTCGCCGTACTCTTTCCTAATCCGTCGAACTCGATGGAGTTCTCTCGATTCGTTGTTACTCCGTAACACAATCCTCCGGATCTTCTCCCTCCAGTAGTCCAGGGAGGAGATCATGATTACTATTGACAATCCGGTCATCCTCCCGTCTTCCCAGCAACGTCCTACCATCTTCTCTGCTCGAAACACCTGGTGGACACTCGACTTTGTCCTCTTTGTCTCCTACTCCTGGCTGACTGCTCGCCTCCACTCTTACCGAGATTTCCATTCCTGCTTGTCCTTGTCTTTCTTTCGTTATTCCATCCTCGCCCCTTGTTACACCCTCAGCCCTCAATTCTTCGTCCTTCTCCAACATCGTCTCAGCCTCCGACTTCGTTTGCTTCCTCTCCCCTCCCTCTACCTCTACGGGCGTCGCCTCCTGTGGTTCTGGCCAACGGGACAGATATACCTTTGTCCCTTTGTTTTGAGACTGGTCAGGTGTGCACAAGTATTCCTGGACAACTTCGACTTTAGGGCACTCTGGAACTTTCACTTTGGTACCTTGAATTGTGATTTGATAAACTCTGCCTTGAAACTCTGTGTTCTCACCTGCTGTTTTCAAATTGTCTTCTGTCAAATCCGAGTGACCGTGCACACCAGAATTGGTGGCTTCCGGTCTAGGGGTATGCCACGCCACCGGACCATTCGTGGTCTCATTGTCAGGAGTGGGGTTCCAAGACCCATCATGCTTTAAAGAGCTGTCCAGGGGTTTGACTGTTATCTGGAAAGAGTAGGGGATTTGTCCGTACTCAGGATCAGATAAGACCTCATGCATTGCGGCTGACACACGGCAGCTGTCCCAGTAATTTCGTGGTCCTGGGTAGATCCATCCCAGCTGTCGTCGAATCCAGCCATGAGAACTGTGTCCAAAACTTGCCCTGCGCCGGATCTCTGCCTCTACTTGTTCAGTAAGTGTTCGTCCACTCATTTCAACATTCATGCGGATGCCTTTGGTATCTAACATGTCCTTCTCTGGACCGGAAAGTTGTACATCAATCTTGTGTAGTGAGGATATGGGTGCCCAGTAAGGACGTCGGAAGTTTTGCACATTTGACACGTCCATTGTGTTGGGCAAACCGTCGATGATCACTCGCCAATCGCTGTATTTGAAAGGGGGCTGTCTTGATTCCCTCCGAATCAGTCGGACCGCTTTGATCAGATAATTCTCCCAAGCCGAGACAGTTGCAGGAATCTCTGTGCTTAAGCCTCGGGCTCTTTCAAAAATCATGTCAAGGAGCTTCTGCTTCTCAGTGGGCTCCCTGTCAGCAGGTTTTGGCATTTGACTTGCTGCCATTACAAGCGGTTCTTTGGAAGTCTTGACGTCAGTCGATGTGGGCTCAAAGGGGATTACAAGAGGCTCAGCCCACAAAAGCGCTGGAGCAATGGCTAAAGTTTCGAGTGAATTTTTATTCCACCCATCCCCAATAGATTGGTATGCAGCTCTAATATGCTTTCTATAAGTGAAAACACTCAATGGCCTGAAAGCCTTGACATCAGTAACACCTGGAGGGAATTCTTTGTCACCCGTTGTATCTTGATCATATAGAATAAAATGGTCACCATCACTGTCATAGTCACTTCCTGGATCTTCTTCCTCAGGTTCTTGAGGGCGTGAGGAAGAGTCAGATGCCATGCTCCTCACACCTTCAGAGGGGACATTAACAATGTCCCCTGTAGTGCCTTCAATGTTTTTGTCTGCAGGGGACCAAAATGGGGGACGAAAAACATCCGAGGGCCATTGTTTCTTCCCGGTGATTGAGGACATGATCAGTTTATGAATTCTATACGGTGGCAAATACTTGACAGACTATGGCTACAGTGCCCCCCTATATAGCCATGAGAATCAGCAGCACTGCATTTGGTTTGGTTCTTGGGGCATCATTTTGACATTCTTACCATTGTCCTTTTCCAAACTAAGCTGAAAGGTTTCTGTGGAGTTCTAAGCTGAGATTCCTCAAGGCTGTGTTAGCAGTGCTAAGATATTGGTCATCTAGAAGTAGCGCACGGACAGGAAGTGGTGTTGACTGTCTCCGATAACTCGTCAATAAAAATTTGACTTGCGCTCTCCCTGAGTACTATAAGACATGCTTCCAATCCCAATCTAGCCAGGATAATGCCTGACATGCCATGACTTACTACAAGGCTCTGATGATTCTACTCGACGCACTCTCACTCACTGAGTGACTTGTCGCCATAGCAATGAACTACCGCTGGCACAGCATTCATCTTGGCAAGTTTTAGAAGCTCCGGCGATGAGAATGCCACACTCGGTCACCGCCAAACGCGTCGATCCTCGATCTCTTTCAACCTTCACACTTTGACAATAAGTACCTGACTCTGGCCAGCATGGACGCTTTCGGACTCCCCATGGCCTTTGGCAAGAAAGCCAAGACTGGTCCTGTTAACTTATCAGCCAAAGTCGCAACCACAAAAAGAAGCGAAGTCGTCCTCGTAAGTTTTTCTCACATATTCTCACCGTTTTAATCTAACCTGTGCAGTCTCCTCCTCCTCCTTCTCCCCCCGCTCAAAAGCCCGAGATCAAAGCGGTGTCCCCGGAGCCTGGACCCTCACAGCCTGTATTCACAGCTTCACAGGACGAGTCGGACGACGAGGAGATAGGACCTGCGCCCCCGTCGAACGGGAAGCGGAAAGCCGACGAGGACGGAGGACAGGATGAGGGGGATGAATATGGAGAGGAGGATGAGGAAGAGGAAGAGGTGGATCGGACGCCTATATCACATGAGATCGTCTTGAAAGATCATACGAAGGTGTGTGTCCCTTGAACTTGTCTTGAGAGAATCGAAAGCTGACAAAAAAGGTGGTGACCGCCCTTGCTGTGGACCCTCCAGGTGCTCGACTGGCGACGGGATCACATGACTATGATACCAAATTGTGGGATTTTGGAGGAATGGACGCTAGATTGAAGCCATTCAAGTCGTTCGAAGCCAATGGGAATTATCATGTGAGTCGCTTCTCTCCGTCCCAGGAGTGATCGCTGAGCCTAGGTCCGCGACCTTGACTACTCTCTGGACGGACAACATTTGTTGATCATTTCTGGCACTGTCCAGCCGAAGATCTTCAGTAGAGACGGAGATGAGGAGTGGGTTTGTTTTTTAACCGTCAACGAAGGCTGCTGATCATAGGATCGAGTTCAACAAGGGGGATGTTTACTTGAGGGATATGAAAAATACTCAGTGAGTCAGCTACGACTGGAGTTGTCAGAGAGTTGACAAGAAAGAGGCCACACAGCTGAAATCAACGCCGGATCATATCATCCTTTGGACAAGACACAATTCTTGACCTGTTCGAATGACTCGACCTTACGGTGTGTCCATAGTCTCCTCATGTGAAATCACTGATCAAGGAGAATATGGGATGTGGCCAACAAGAGAAAACAAAAACAAGTGATAGTAGTCAAGTCAAAAGAGCGAGGGGCTAGAACACGAGTGACGGCTTGTGGGTGGAGTCATGATGGTAAAATGGTAGCTGGGGGTAAGTCTTGTCCTTTCAGATGATACTGTTGGCGCTGGTCGTTGAACACATAGCATGCCTCGATGGCACGTTACATATCTGGAACACATCGTCAAATTTCGCCAGATCTAATCTATCCAACGAAACCGCTCATACGAAAAATACCGAGACAACAGGCCTCGCTTTTGCTCGGGATGGTCATAGGATAACAACGAGAGGAGGGGATGATACTGTCAAACGTGAGCTGTGTTTGATATGTATTTCCTGCGAGCTGACCTTTTGTGTGGGATATACGATCCATAAGAAAGCCTTTGGCAGTGGCCTCAGATCTAGGGAATATATATCCCGATACCAACGTCATCTTCTCACCTGATGATCGAATTGTTTTAACGGGTACTGCTGCGCCAAAAGGTCAGAAAGGGAGTTTGGTATTTCTTTCTGGAGATGATCTGGCGGTGCAGAGAAAGTTACCTCTTGGAGAAGGATCGGTAGTGAGGGTATTGTGGCATTCGAGGATTAATCAGGTAGGTACAATTCGACGTGGACCTTTCCTCCGTGCTATCACTCGTTGCCCGTCTTCATTCAAGCTGCCCCTGTGTCCTTTTAACAGCTTAGTTCACCACTGACGAAAAAAGATCTTTGCCAGTCTCAGTACAGGAGCTGTCCATGTCCTTTACTCTCCTCATTCATCGATCCACGGCGCGCTTCTACCGCTTGCCAAAATGCCCCGTACAGCCCCTCGAGACATCTCATTCTCCGTCGCCGACCTCAATCCCGTCATTTACACACCCGAGGCTCTGCCAATGTTCGCAGATAAAAAATACGGTGAATCGCTACATCAGAAGGAGAAGAGGAGTAAGAAGTTCAAGCCGATGGAACCTGTCAGCGGTGTGGGCAGAGGGGGGAGGGTGGGGGGAAGTACGACACAAGGTTTCGTACAGTCGTTGTTTTCTGAAAAGATTGATCCGGCGGAGGATGTGAGTGGTTTTTCTTTGTGTAGATTGTGATACTGACAATGCAGCCTCGGGAAGCTCTACTCAAGTATGCGGAAAAGAAGGAGAAAGAGAAGGAGTAAGGTTTTGTCGTGCCCCGTACACATGGTGTTGTGGAGCATCGAGGTCCGGAGGGGAAGTGTCTGCGATGACTTACCCCGCTTGGAACATCTGTGTTTCGAATCGAACGCATTGGATCTTGCATGCTCTGATGGTATCATCTCTGTCATGTATCTTTGCTTGTCTCATAGTCCATAATCTGAACGATACTTATCTTTCCGGTTACCGGTTAGAGCCGAGTATCCGCAACCGATGACCGGCGGTCAAACTGAACGACGCCACGCAAGCTTGTCCGATCTGACCACTTCCATGTTCAACCCTTCAACTCTCTTCATCTTGCATCCATCTTATCAACACTCTTTCAAGTCTGAAACCATCAGAACAACAAAAAATGTCATCCCCTATCCCAGTCACTCTAGTAGGAGCCACCGGTCTCACCGGTAAATCCACCCTACTCTCTCTATTCTCCTCTTCCATTCCATTCTCGATAACAACCTTTGCTCGACGTTCTATCCCCCTTACCACCCCTACGAACCCTCAAATAAAATGGGAACAAAAAGAACGTCCTGATTTGTTCTCAGTAGTCAACGAGAAAGTGGGCGAGAAAATGGGTGTATTCGTCAGTTGTTTAGGAACTACGATCGCTCAAGCTGGTGGAATGGAGAAACAGAAGAAAATAGATTTAGATTTGAATCGGGATTTGGCAAAGAAAGCGAAAGAGGATGGTGTTAGTACTGTGAGTCAATATTTTTACTCTCTTATAATCTCCTTCATAACTTTCTTTCAATCTCTGTGGATTTCTTGTCTCTGTGTCCTCTGTTTCTCGGGGTTCACAATCTCTCTCTCTCTTGGGGAATTTGTACTCGATCTTCGGATGGATGAAGGACGGGATATATACTCTGTCCTTCGTGATACTATCAGCTTCACTAGTGATAATGGTTTTATTATTGTTCCTCCACCCCACTCCTGAATGTTAGACACCACGAGTGGGAGAGTTCGACACTCTTTCTTTTTCATTTTCTTGATCATTTTTGTGGGTCCGAAAAAAACGGAGATGCAGTAAAATGTACATCCTTCTTCCCGCAATCAGTTTTGACGACTCGCACATGCTACATCAATCCAATGGTATATCTCATAATAACCCACTTCTAACATGTGGAGATGTGGGGTAGATCGATGATGATCGTTGAAAGAAAGAATATATCTGATACCACAGTATATTCTCGTTTCTTCAACCGGATCAGACAGTTCTTCTTGGTTTCATTATACAAAAATGAAAGGTCAATTAGAAGATGCGGTCAAAGAAATTGGTTTTGATCATTGTATCATTTTACGACCTGCTTTGTTATTAGGTGATAGGTGAATTTTTAGAATTCTTTACATGTTTTTCCCCACTATCCTAATTCATCTTATCAATACCCTTTGAGGAGGTTCAATCTTATCTCCATTTCCTCATTGAAGTCAGTCACTTGGGATATCAGATTCAGACTGAGACTGATAACACTTTGAGAGAGTCAATCTGATAGGTCAGAGGATATACTCGAAAAACAGAATTCTTGGTCACCAAAACCATTCGTGCTTATTTATCTTTGGGTGGACCTGGATCAAGTATGTTGGCTATTGACTCAGACGAGTGAGTGTCGTCCATTGATTCTTCCTGGTACATCTTTCTCCTCAGTTGCATCCTATCCTCACACGTTTGAGGTGTTTGGCATTCCTCACTTTTCCTCTCCTTGGCATCTCGTGATCTTCGACCTCATGGGCTGGGATGGGCTAGGGACTTTCTTTTCCCCCGGAAAGATGTGTTTCTGTAAAACTCACGAATACTTGACTGACTATACAGCGTCGGAGCGTGTATAGCCCATCTTGCTGCTAACCCTCCAACGGAAAAGGTGATCACACTCAGCAATTCGGAAATGATTCAGATTGCTGCCAAACACCGAGCAGCAACAGCTTCGTCTTAAAGCATGGTTTTTTTCTCATTATACAGACTTTTGTCCACTTGTCAATATGAGCTTGTGAAGAATAAATTAATCTTTGGGTTGAAATCCGTTATATGAAGTGTGTACTAAAGATGGAATCCATGCAGATGGACATGTTCTACGTGTCGAATGTATAATTTTGTCGTTTCCTTTCGTTACGCTCTCTCTCAAAGTCCCCCCCTCACCTTCTCCTCTCCTTCTCCTCTCCTTCTCCTCTCCTTCTCCTCTCTACCACCATCAAGCTGTTATCTGACCCTAAGGGGTGACGTAACTAATCCACCCGTATAGACCCGTATAACCTTCTGACGGCGAAGTACGAGGCGATGAAGCCGATCGAACCACCTATGAGAAAATCGAGTAAAGAGAATAAGAATCTTAACTTCAGCGCTTAGTCGAGTTTAAGACATAAATTGTACTCACAGATATCCGAAATATAAAACCACAGAGGTGAAAGAATCCAAACTCAACCTAGAAGCCCAATACCAAACTCCATACGCAAACAACCAAAACGAACTTCCACCACCTATCAAAAATGATCTCCAATGCCATCTATATTCCTCTGCGCATAATATGAAATAAACGAACAAAACGCTGACCGTCGCTGTGGTCAAAGCCACCACGGAAAAAGTGAGGAATAAAAATCCGAACGCGTAATAAGCTCGATTACCGAATAAACTGGATAAGACGAAATATAATTCTACGAACGCCGCTCCGAAAGGAAGGATACCACCTAATATTGCCGATTGAATAGGTTCGAGATACCAAGGTTTAGGTGGTATTTGTCTTGGGATTGGATGTGTTCGAATCGGGTTTGAAAAAGGACCATGTTTCATTCCATAGAAATAACCTACGATCGATAATGGTACCGAAATCAAAAACCAAAGTAAAAGAACAGCTAGGATAGTACCGAATGGAACTGCTCCTGATGCCGAAGCGAATACTAAGAATAAATTGAGTAAACCGATTATTGAGAAAGTTACGATTGGAAAAAGTATTGATGTTAAAACGATATTTGATTTCCAATTCTCTCCACCTAAAGAAGAATATGTACGAGCTGATGTATATCCTCCTACACAACCGAATATCGTCCAACATATCAAAAGTACCGTAGCTAAAGAACCACGATTTGAAGGTGATAAAAATCCTAACAGAGCGAATATGAGTGTTACTATACACATTAAAATTAAATGTGTACCAGTTCCAACACAAACCGAAAGTAAAATTGGTCGATTTGGCATTCTGAAAACTTCTCCATGAACTAATTTCCAACCGTAATCTTCTTGAACATCTTCAGCTAAATCTATAGCGTTATATCTTGAAATATCTTTTGAAATAGTACGATAAAGTATCATAGCTACCATGAAAATCAAAAAAGAGACGATCACCAAAGAGTTTATGAGTGAAAACCAATGGATTTTAGGATCGAAAACGTGTAAATACATATCCCATCTCAAACCCCAAGGAATTTCAGAAGGTATGAAAGAAATCGAATAAGTGTAATAAAGTTGATTATCGTTATTTTCAGATAAATAAAAAGGTTTATCGGAAAAACAATTCGGTGAATCTTCTCCTATTATCATGGAATCGACAGAACGTGGATAAACTAATACTCCAACAACTCTAAAATGTTGATAATCTCTTGAATGATATTGAACGAAAATATCATAATGATTGTTGAGTGAAGGTGAATCTGGTAAGGTATCATCATCACCAAGATTAAAACCTTGAGCATCTAAAAAGATTTCACCAGTTTTTGAATCTCTTTTCATTTCTCCACTTGGTAATCCATCGATTATTAAATTTAATCCATAATCTTCACGAATACGATCATTTATGAATTTCGCATCGTCTCGAGGAACGTTTGAACGACATAATGTTTGACAAGTTGAATTTTCTAACATTTTAATATCGTATGGTGATGTTAAAATACGATCTCCGAAAAGTATAGAACCTAAAGATTCAGGTTGTTTTTTAGGTCCTCCTTCAGGTTGACAGAAATGAAATCGAGGGTCGTAATAATCATGTGAAATGAGAGAATGAAGTTTGGAATTTAACATGGGTGTGAGAGTGTTGACGAAAACATCGATACGTTCTCCGGGTGCGTAATCTCTTGGAGCTGAGCCAGGGAGATAGAACGCGGTTATTAGGGTTGGAAGAAGCGGGAGGAGGAATGGAAGGGGGCGCATGGTGAGGTTGGGGTTGGAGTCGGGGGAACCTTGTCTTGTCTTGTGAATAAGTCAAGTCGATTTTCAATGTTTTGCTTGACTGTTAAGAATTGAGGATTTCTGGGATAAGAGTCCGAATAGTAAAAAGCCCAGGAATATGGGGATGATGTGGTGAGAGGGGAGGTTGTGAGTAGGTGGTAGCTGGAATGGTGAATACTTGGAGGAGTCTTTGAACATGCTGCGGTCGACCTTTGTTGAAGGAGACGAAGGCGGCGTTCGCCGTTCAGCCTCCGAGTATGCCACGTCATGTTCTATTCAGGAACAGTCTGATTACGTCAGCTCTGACATCTAAACCGTTTCCGTCTTTCCCGGATAATCGACGACCATCCGGCGTTTGAACTTTCCACGGGCCATAGGCGACGGTCCCAGAGAGGGAGGAGTGAAGACGACATCATCGTCCCATATAATAATTCATAGAATCTCTTGGAATGTACCGACAACAATCTCCACAACTTATAATCGTTTATTCAGAATCAGTATCAACTTTATAACCCTTTCAGGTGGTTCACACAGGCAAGTCCGTGTACGTAGAAGACGGAGGACCGTGCTGATGATCAGATCTCTTCCTTCTAAACAACCGTATATCTTATTTTCACCATACGTATCTTTACCGCCACCTTACTTCATTCCACATACAAACAACGAAGAATAAACAAGATGCCTTTGTTATCTTCTTTATCCAGTATGGTAGGGTTCGAAAGTATTTCCCCTGAAATAAGGGCAAAGTCTTTCTACGATCTTAAAGCTACTTTACCGGGAAAGAAAGAACTTGATTTTGTCAGTTGTTTCCTTTCTCTCTCTCTCCTCTTCTCTGTCTTTGTCTTCCTTCTCTTATCACCTGTCATTCATCCCATTCAAGTATCAAATCTGAGAACGATTCCACTCGAAGATGGTCGCTTCTTCTTATTCATGCTCATCGGATCATCGGGTCAGAATATGTTTCGTAAATGAGACATTCCATGATCGTCATCATAGTACATACATAAATCACCGTAATAAGAAGCACGGTCAGAGCTTATATGGGTAGAGTCAATTCAAAGGCAAAGTCGTGCTTATCATCAATACCGCTAGCAAATGGTATGTTCACAAAATCTCAGAGGGCCAAACGGGTTTGGGTTTGGGGCTAATGAGAAGCGGTTTCACTCCTCAATATACAGATCTGGAGTCGTTGTACAAGACTTATCATGATCAAGGTTTAGAAGTATTGGGATTTCCATGTGATCAATTCGCACATCAAGAACCGTTGGATGATGATGGTATTGCTTCGTTTTGTCAAGTGAGTGGCGATCATCTCTTTCGTAACTCAGACTCTTCATCGCACCCCCTCCCCTTCCTTACAAAAAGAAAGGAATATGCATTCTTTCTGATTCCTCTCCTTTCCTGGATTCTGTGGTGTTGTCAACATCAGTCCCGCCGTTAGATATGAAAGCGACCGTGTGTCTCAAGAACAATTCTGTTCGATGGGTACCAGATAGTCGAACAACCGAAAACGAAAACCTTTGTGTACACATACTGACATCAGGTCAACCACGGAGTAACCTTCCCCCTCATGGCCAAAGTGAGTTCCTCTCATCCCCATTTCTCCTCATAAATGCTCATAAATAGTCCGATGTGAATGGTAAAAATATGAACGAAGTTTTTGCGTGGTTGAAAGCTAAAATGCCCGGTGTGGCCGGGACGACCAATATCAAGTGGTCAGTCCATGTTGATTACGCCTCTTCCCCACTCCATATCCCCTCGTTTAATCCTCACTTTCACCTGTCTTGTCATTATAGACTTGCTCATCCCCCAAGAATTTGTTCACGTATTCGTTGCGTTCATCCGACATTTTCTGAGTAACGAAATCTCCTCTGAGTAACGAAACTCCATCTGAGTGAGACATCGTCAGAACGGGATAGATATCAAGAAAGGTCATAGGATGGCGATATTGACCAATAGGAACTTCACCAAATTCCTCATTGATAGAAAAGGGAATGTCATCCATCGTTATTCACCCAATACTAAGCCAGAGTCATTCAAGGGTGATATCGAGAAACTTCTCTCGGAACCGGCACCTGAGGCTTGATCAATTTTCACGAAGATTTCTTTGGGGTGGTACAGTACACCATGCGTAATTGGACATTTGATCTTTTATATGTCTTAGTGAGGTGTTGAATTTTTTTGATATTGCAAGGTTGTCAAATGAATAATCCTGTCTAGTACTATGCCAATTTTTCTTCATCTACTCAGGGAAGATTGTCCTTCCCAATGTAAAGGCTTCATCAAATTGTCATCAAGATATTTGGGATTCGTCATTTCCCTCTATGTACAACCAACTAACTAACTCCATACAACCAACCAACTAAGTACTCCAATTGACCCGTCAAATGACCATACACCATAAACCATTAACTTTCCACACTCAAATCTCCACCACTACCCGTCCTTCTCCTCATATCCCTCAACTCTACCTGTTCCCTCTCATCATCATGTACAAACCTCAATACCTCTCCTCTCCCTCTTCTTCTTCCTTTTCTCATCATGATCCATCTTCTGACCAAACAAACCACTCCCGCTGTTAATCCGATAGGTGGTATCCTACATAATCTCCACCACCAACCAGTTTCTCCACCTTGTTGTTTTTTCCATTTACTTATCAAACGATCTACCTGTGTCGCAAGTTCGGGGAGTGAACCAGAATTATCTATTATACAAGTTGCATAAATCGCTTTTTGTGATAATGGCATTTGGGATGAGATACGTGCTTGTGCTTGAGTTATCGATAGGGGAGTTGGAGATGGTCGTGATAGAAGTCTTGAGATTTGAAGTTTATCGTTTCTATTTTGTCAGTTTAAATTCTATCACCATTTTAACACGCTATCATTTTATCATTTTATCATCTTTCTATCATTCCAACCTCCTATCATTCCACCCTCCTATCAGTTCACCCTTCTAATATTTCACCCTTCTATCATTCCACCCTGCTATCATTCCATCGAATCAGCGAACCATCGAAGCAATTGAAGATGAACAAAGAGGAGTATTTCAATATACGAAGATCAAAACAATGTGAGATATGGGGTTTCTGGTTTACTGAAAATGGGTGTTTGACTCACACAAAAACAACAACAACTTCACCAACCCATCTCCATAAACCAGCTTCAATCAATAAAGGTACATCCAAAACCACACACCATTCTCCTTTTAACCAACATTTCAAAACTTTCCAAACTATAGATTTCCTAACTCTAGGATGTATAACACCATTCAACCATTTCCTTTCATCTTCATCATGAAATACTATTTCTCCTAATGCTACTCTATCGAGTTGACCTTGAGAGTTTAAAATACGATCAGGACCGAAATGATTGACGATGAGTTGAAACCCGGATGTATTTGGGGCGACTACTTCTCTAGCTAGTATATCTGCGTCTATTATTGGGATATGATGAGTTGATAGAAGAGAAGAAACTGTTGATTTGCCTGATGCTATACCTCCTGTCAGACCTACGACTGGAGGTTTAGCCATTTGATAGTTTCTCTATTTTCTTTGAACTTGAATTTACTCACCTAGCATATTCAGCAGGTTCTCCCGGTTTTTTTCTCTGGGGATATAGAGGATACAGTGGGCAGAGGAGACGAAGTAGGAGGCAGTGAGATTGAGTGACTGTATTAGAAGTGAAGAAATCGAGTGTCCAGAAGACGAAAGTAAGAGTGGACTATGGTGCCTGAAGAAAGCGATCAAAGCGTAAGAGATTCATGACAACCTCTTACGTTGTTCTTTCCAAAACATGTTTCTATTCTCTCTTCCCTACTATACTTCACTCACTCCACATTTCATCTAATCCTTTTCATCTAAAGACTCAATCATCCCCAAGTAGTTCTGAAAAAAATCATCATGTCCCCTCCTCCCACACCTCATAATCCTTTTCCTCCCACACCTCTCTCTCCTCCACGTCGCACGTCCCTTCCCAAACTCACAGAAACACTCATCAAACCTCGTCTAGAAACACGTCCGTCACAAAATACCATAATACCTCGTAATACCTTATCTGATAGGAGAGGGGTAGGGAACGAATGGGATCATGCGTGGGATGAAAGACAAAAGAAAGTTTGGGCGGAGAAAGTTAGAGTGGATTTGGAAGGATGGAGAGGAGGGCATGGGTGGGTGACTTTCCCAATCTCGATTATCAATTCACCCCTTTTCCTTCAATTGCCTAGGGAATGGGGGGACTAGATGTGATGAAAAGTATGAAGAACGAATGTTGATCAGATCATCAGTCATCCTCGTTCTACATATTCGAGAACGGCAGTACCTAGCGAAACTTATTTCGGACAACCGACCACAGGTATAATCTCAAGACATTTACCAAAAGAAATATTGAGGATAGAGAGAGATTGGTCTGAAGGAGAAGTCTGTCAGTGAGTGAGATAAGACTTTTCTCCATATCAATCGTCCTCCTCCCCATCCTTTTCATTCTCACCCTTCATTCTATACTTCCAATTCGTACCGTTCACCCTATCCTTCCGATTCCACACCCATGTCAATTCATCACGACCATCCAAGGATATTAAGTATCTTCTCTATATAACACCTGACGAAAGGTCAGAGACCTTATTAGCGAGACTGAATAGAGCTGTTCAAATTTCAAAGACATCTCTCATCTCAGATTCGAACCCATCTTCCCGATGGAATTAGAAGGTCGCATTTCACCTTCTACATTCCAAGAATTCATTCGAACCATCAATGCACATCTAACAAATGCTTATTCCGTAAGAGGAGCAGTTGTTGATAATTTAATCGCTGTCAGTACTTGGTGGACTAGTTTATTATGGCGTACAAGTCATTTCGAAAAGGTCAATTGGTCGACTTTCTCTTCTCTTTTGTCATGTTTGATTGTGAACCTTTCTCAGCTGAAATTATCATCAATCGTATATCAAAAATGCGAATCCGAGCGAGGCTGACCAGAAGCATCTTAAGTTAACAGAGAGAAGTATAGAACGATATAATAAAGAGACTTTTGAACCTGTTGGATTAAGAATTTTATCACCTCGACATGTCGCTTTACAATTCGTGAGTTCCTTTCCTTGATTTGTCATCTGTCAAGTTGTATCAAGCTGAAAATACAGCTGGAAATTGAATATTATTGACAGGCATTTGTATAATACGTTGTACATCACACGACATTGACGTTTCATACCATGTCTATATCCTGCATACTGTATTTGCATACAATTACAACGAACAACGAACAATGTGTGAAGAAATCTAATTTGACTCTGCCTTGCCACAAGCTTTGATAGCATCCGCAATGATACGGTTGGTCACTTCTGAATTATCTAAGTAGACATGATGGCCGGCTTTGGGTACGACATGAACGGTGGCTTGTTTGTTTCCTGCTTTGTTGAGAACTTTGACAGATTCGTGACCTCCATCTACGTCCATCCCTATCCGTTAGTACTTGTACACATCATTTGATCTCCATATGGGGAGCTGCTTTGTGATTTTGACGAAAGACATATGGAAAGTTGACGAGTCGGAGTGAGTGGACAGGAAGAGAAAGGAAAACTGACAGTCGTTATCCCCGTAAATGAAAGTCACGGGACAAGTGACTTTACTGATCCTGTCGACTATGGGAATACGTGCATGAGCACCTGGAGCAAGAATATGAGCTATGATGTCAGCGCCGACGGATCCCTTCCTGGGAATAATCGAGAGAACTTCTGATGGGCGAGAAGCTAGTTTCCAGCGGATGAGATGAGACGGACAAGGAAAAGCAGAAACCGTGATTTGAGTTGATATAGGACTTAACCAGACGAGGCGAAAGAAAATTCCAGTGAGAAGAGGTTAGAAAAATTGACTCACAGATGCAATATTCCCCTGAACCTTTGAGAATACTAGTGTTATATATATAAGCATGTAAATCTCTTATATCTTCTTCTGATTGTCCGACAAAACGTCTACTAGAATATCTCCCAACGGTCATCGGTGCCCAAGGTCCTAAAGCACGTAAAATAGAAAAAGGTGATAAACCTTTATCCCAACCCCAAATGAAAACTTAACATTAGTAAACAATCCCATTCAATCACAAGAAGAAGAAAAATCTCTACTCACATCTTCTCGCCCCTCTGGCAAACATGGAAGGATTCTGATTCCATTGTCTAGCTTCTCCTTTTGGTTCAGGAACATGTTCTTCTTCCGCAACTGGTGGTTCACCATGTTGTGCCATATCAGTCATATCCGCTTCTGAAGTTTGACCAGATGTAGGGAAATGTTTCCATTCAGGTCCTCTGGGTATACCAGCCGGTGAAACTAAAATAAGTGAACGAACACGTTCAGGATATCTGACTGTATATGCCGAAGCTAAATACCCTCCTAGTGAATGACCGACTAAAATGATACGATCTAATCCCATTGATTGACGCCATTCTTCTAAAGATGAAAGAAAGAAATGTTCTGCTCTTGCTACACGAGAAGGTACTGAGGCGGTTGATGGAGAAGATAAAAGATCAGGGGAAGGTCGTGATGAAAGTCCCATTCCTAACCAATCGAGAAAGAATGTACGACGGGAAGTTGCGGAACCTGCTTGAGATATGGGTTCCCAATTACGGAAGAAGAATCTGAGAGTGAGTTTTGATCTTTTTTTGAGACGTTTTGTTCGAATCTTTCGTTATAACGTTGTCGTCTTAACCCTTTCCTTATAGGTGGAATATTTAGGTATGTCATTGTTTGATATTCAGACGCAGGGAAAGGCGGAAGAAAAAGGAAGGGTGACTCACCCAAGTGCGGCGGCATATCCATGTAACACCACGACCGCTTCTTTCGCGTTGGCATCCTCCGGTTTGGAAATTTCCAAAGTATTGATATAATCCACCAATGTATCATCTTTATGTTTCCTGTGATGTTTATGTTTATGTTTCCAACCATGTTTCTCCAAAGTCGCTGTTGAACTCGACGGTGAAGTGGCGGGAGTTATAACCCGCGGATCGGCTGGGTGAGCAGGAGCATCATCCGGATCAGGAGTATGTATGAAAACATTCTTCAAAGTGGCCACTAAACCGGTACCAGCGACAGGAGTAGGTGGTACGACTTCTTCTCTTTGTTGAACCTCTTGAACGGTCATAGTGGTTTTGTTCACACTTGGATCGGTATGATGATTTCCAAACCATCCCTTATGAACGGGTAAATTAGGTGAAGGTCGGTACATGGCCATACGACGAAGAAGTCTTTCTTCTGCATATCTCGCTTCGCGGTATGACGAGTTAGACCACCAAGCTGAAAGAGACGATCGGAAGTCCGTAGGGATAGGTTTGGAAGGTGGTACAGGATGAGGAGTGGGGAGATGATCAGGAGGTGGGTGAACTATTGGAAGTGGAGCAACGGTCGTCATTCTGATAGAAGAAATGACCCGAGGGAAAGTGGGACGAAGGGATGCGATGGTGGTGATGGTTGTTTCTGAGCTGTAAGACTATTCGATCAGCTGAAGAAGGGTGAATATAGGAAGAACAAGGGAGGGTTTCGGGGGGTTGTATATACAAAAGAAGACGTTGAGGTGAGGTGTTCAAGAGCCGATGACCGAGGGGGAGATGCGAATGTGTGGCCGATTTGTGACGTGTGCGTCTAAGGTAGTCCCGATCTCATCGGCGAAAAAAGGAACAAAAGTTTATGGGATGGTGAGGAATGGCCGATGACCGAGAAGGGGTAGAATCGGCGATCGCCGGATGACGGTACCAGGCACGGGACCTGGTAAAGTTGAGCAAAGACGAGTGAACGATGACTCAAGCAGTCTCAAAATTCTATCTACTCTGAAAGGTTCTTATATCGTTTACTACCCCTTTCTTCTCCTTCCAGTGTTTTCAAAGTCTTCTCGACTTGCTCTGTGTCTGCTTGTCCTGCCAGCGATTCTCCCCGACTTTATCCAATCATCAACGTTCGATCTCCATCTCATTGAATAACCTGTCCTTTTACTTACCCATACCATGTCCGCTCCGACACTCGTTTCCGACTCACCTATCAACCCCTCAATACCATTCACTTTCGATCCCGTTGAGTTCGCCGTTGAAGCTATACGAAATGGGGAGTTCGTCGTGGTGATGGATGATGAGAATAGGGAGAACGAAGGTGATGTCGTTTGTGCCGCTAGCAAAGTCACTACAGAAGGTATGGCATGGATGATAAGAGCTACAAGGTGGGTCTTTCCTTCTGTCTATAATCTCTTGTATTCTGCTCTACTACTGGATGATATCAATCAGTTGGAAAGGTCCACTGATGAACAGTGGATATATATGTCTTTCCCTTCCCCCACCTAGACTCAAACAACTCTCTTTACCTCCTTTACTCCCACCTTCAGGAATTTCACAAGATCCTAAAGGAACAGCATACCATTTGACGGTAGATACATCAAATACGAGACATCCCACCACCACTGGTATCTCAGCTCATGATAGGGCTTACACGGCGAGATTGTTGTCGGATGAGAACTCTGTAGACGAGGATTTCACGAGACCGGGACATATGGTCACTTTGAGATATACAACAGGAGGGGTGAGACTGAGGAGAGGACATACAGAGGCAGCTGTTGGTGAGTTCGACCGTCATGTAACTTCCCTTCACTATCGACTTACTACAAACCGCTGACTCATGTTGGATAACGAAAATACGACAGCTGACATATCCAGACCTTTGCTACCTCGCCGGATTACCACCAGCAGGTCTTCTTTGCGAACTCGTTCATCCCACAGATCCATCAGGTAGCATGGCTCGACGAGATGATTGTTGGAGGTTCGCCAAGATGTGGGGGATCAAGATTGTCAGTATCGAAAGTCTCGTCGAGTATCTAGAAAAGGACGACAAGGGTTTAGTGCCCAATCCTTCGATCAACGGACATTGAAAGTCGCGCTCCGGCTTCTCAACACACATATCTACTTTCTAGACCTGGGATAAAGGTGGGAATTAGAGGGGAGCCCTAGTATAGAGCTGAGTATGTATAAACACTGTTTTGTGGGAAGATCCTTTATACTTGAGGCTGTGGGGGAAAAAGTGTGGAAACCATGCGGGCTTGGGGCGGGTTTGGGACTCGAGTGGCGACTAGTACGCCGATATCCAATGTCTAACGAGACTATCTCCTCTCTATCTTAACTACTAACTTCTCGCATCTCGTCAACGATCATCTCTAGATTCGTATCACACAGATGACGTCGACTTCTCCTCAATACCCCTCGTTGTTCAAATGGTCAGCTTGGAGATACCGCCCTTCCAATGCGGTGTGGGGGATGTGTGATATTGAGCTCGTTTTGCTGAGTGGAAACTTCAAAGCATATCGACTTCCTGCCTTCGTGCCATACCTACTTGGAACGACGTGTCCCTCCTGCAAGGAAAGAATCTATCCAAACAGCAGGAGAGCATGTGTGGCGTTTAAAACGATTACGGGGGATTCAACACAAGATCAAGAGGAAAGGTACATGATGACGGTGCTCCATGAAGTCTGCTTCGAACTAACAGTCTCTTGGGTATACAATCGTATGCTGTGGACATGGACAGCACTGACTATATCCACTCTGAGTGTCCCAGTGATCATACCAGCTCAAACTGAAGGTCAATGGTTTTCAGCAAATCAAGAGATGACTCATGCAACTTCAAGGCATCAAGCACCTACCGGTCCACCCTCCCAACAGGCGGGCAAGTCCAGGGATTGGATGCCCGCCGGTCCCGTCCCCAGTACGAATTTTGGCAATCGAACACATGAGGTCTTGAGCACTGATGGTAAAAAGAATGGAACTGGATCTCCTGAAGAGGTTGAAGTTCTTACTGATATTGAACCAAATGATCACGGTGACGGTAATGATGATGCAATTTTTGAAACTGTACACGACTTTTTGTGTTCCTGGGTCAATCGCGACAGCACACCTCGGGGAGTCATAAAAGTTCTCTGGAGTCTGACAAGAAAACCAACCAACCTGACCCGCCCGACCGATCCGAGATCTGGTGACGTAGCCATGATCACGGCCTTCGGTTCCCGGGCTTACCAGTCACCTAGCCCCATGCCCACGAAAGGGTTTGATGAAGTGGCCTAGGATCCGCTTTGTTTCAGATATCAGGAGAGTAATACGAACTTCACGACTCTCACGATCTCAACCGATCGATTCGGCTTTCTACCACTCCGCCTGAGATTCGGAAGAGATCGGACGAAGAGATAAGAGTATAATCGGATAGTGAACAATCAGAGTCGCCCAATGAGGAAAGAGTGGAAGGGACAGTGCAGCCTGTGAACCAGAAGAGAAAGATTCTCACTCCACTTACCCTTTGATCTTGATATATGTAGTATAAAGTGGCAGATAGAAAGGGTAAAATTGATGTGGGAAAGTTTCACATGAATTGGTAAGGTAGATCAGAAATTGATATGTTTGTTTTATCAGAAATTCGATCTCATCTATCAGTGAGCATGCACCCTACGACTGAAATCATTGGTTGGAGAGCTTTCGACTACGATAGGAACGGTCAGGATATTCATCCATCGATCGGTGCCTCCACAGTCTACGGGGAGGGGATCTTGAGAAGAATGTGAAACGTGCGGACCGGCCTTTGGTCTATCGCGAATTTACTCTTTTGGGTTAGAGTGAGAAGTAACCTGGAGATGGGAAAGAGCTAAAAACTACCTTTCCTTTCCGGCTAGTGCTATGGAAAGAACGGAGGCGTGGAATGGAGGAGATGCCTCCCACTCGGGGGTCCGGCTAGAAGTGAGGCCACTAACGGCCACGACAACTCCGATTGGGTGGGGAGACACATAAAGCACGCTTATCCGTACCCTTCCATCCCACTTGTCATCCATATCTTTTGACCGATTTGCATTTGCTATCTGTACCCTGTTGAATAGACAGTAAGAAGACACCAATCTATCATGTCCTCGATAAAAGATCTCTCCATGTATCTGGATTTCACAGATGGTGATCGTATCTCCCAACAGTGCTCATCAGTGGTACCTACCATGGTCTCTGATGCAGGGCGGGCAGCAGCTTCAGCCGAGTTGTCCCGACGCTTCATGGTAGATGGTGCTTACTTCACAGATATTCGCTTTGGTCCACACCTCACCTGGGACGAGTCACTTACCCATTGGGCAAGACAAATGCATACAATTCCTGGCATATGGTCACAATGGGAGCTCAAGAGTCTGGATTCTGGAGGTGAGCTTAACCTATATAGGGGCAACAAAGTATGCACAGGGTGTTCAGGTTCATTTAAAACCAACGACCAGTACTGGATAGCATCTATGATACCAAAATTGGGTGAGACCTCGGGAACATCACTATTTCATCAAGGGTGTATCCGAAGTGTGATGAGAGGGGAACGAAAGTTCTGGATCAACATCCCGGCATCCAGTGAGTGATCTATCAACCCATACATCTCCCACGTCCTGTGATGCTCAGGGGGAGGGGAGTTGAGGCTGATCTTTCAGAGAGGGACGGCAGATTATGAGGATGCATGTCAAAATGATGTTGCCACTTCTTCTCAGCTGACCGATGGTCGACAAACCTTGGCTAACTATGTTGTACTAGGGTGTCAAGGTCTCACAGAGACAGCGTACTTGTTGGGGAATTGAATCCAACTATGCTGTAGTAATACATTGGGGTGATAAACATGGAGATGATCATTGATGAACTATGGCTAACTTTACTGTGGTGTGTTGAACTGCTCAATGGTATCTCTCTCTCAGAATGGTAGTAGCTACTGAATATATTTCTTGCTACTGACAACAATCAAGGATTGCTGAAGAAGTTCAGCAATCTGTAACCTAACTATACTCTTCTGCTTTCCTTGTAGAGTATCCCTCAACCCTTGCACTGCCTTGCGCTCGGTCGTCCTTCATCCAATTTTGCGGTACTTCTCTGTATCCTGTCACGAAGGACGTGACATGTGCCAAATTGATGTTGACAGTGTTCAGCAAAAGCCACTGAAAGTTTGAAAGTTGTATGTTGGGCATTTAACCAGCAACCAGCAGTTTGCAGTAACCGCCGGTTATGGTTAAATACCCAACCCATCCTATCACTATCACTATCAAACTGTCTTGTCACTTCGTGACAGTGGTGAAAGGTTGTTGGGATGTTGAGACAGGGTGGACAGCAGAAGTTTACAGCAAGCTTGGTCTACAACTGGCGGGAGTAGACTGTAGTGCTGGCACAAAGGTCGACAGAAGATGTACCAAGTAGGAAGGAGGTAATAAATATAGATCAAGTATAAAAGTGTCTAGTAGTTGGAACTATATACAAAGGAAGGTGGGACTTCAGAGCGAAGACCCAAAGTCAGACTTGATGATAGATGGAGTGCCACCCGTAGGATGATCTTGCACTGTCTATGGTCAAAGATGACTTTGGGGAGAGAGGAGAGGTAATGAGGAAAAGTGAGGTGTTTTGTGATAGTTTTCGTTGTTAAAGTAGATACCCATTCCGCCGCCTTTATATACCTTTCAGAATTACAAGTTATCACACTGATTCCCAGAACCCACAATGTGGTGTGTGGAGTCACATTGTCACGAATATATGACTGATGACAATGAAGCCGCAATGGTGTGTCTCAAACAGTCTTAAAACCAACAGTAAGTTAGAGTAGAGAGCTAGAATCAAAGATGACAATTGATCAGAGAGACAGGGAAAGAAACAGAGAGCTAGAACCACTATTTATAGACAAAACACCCCAAACTGAGTGTCACGCGGCGCCACGTGACATCATCTTTCCCCATCAACGAGGTTCCTTTGGGCATCAGTTCGCCATCAACGATCCAGTTCTCATGAACTTCATCACCCACGAGGGTATTAGGAGGCTAAATTCGTCAAGGGCGAAGTTAGTCATGTAGGAAGTTAGGGAGATACAAAGTTAGGGAGATACGAAGTGTCACGAACTATGTCGTAACATCCCTGACAACCACCATCACCGACCCTCCTTTCACCATCACCGACCTTCCTTTCACCACCACCAACCTCCACTCGAACCAATGAGACCAACTACGGCGAAGTTACGAGAACCAAGAGGGGATTTGTCACGATAACCCCGTCTAGCGGAGAACTACGGCGAAGTTAGGGGAAGGGAACCGAGGGAGAGCAGAACAGGGGAAGTTAGGCGAAGTTAGTCAAAGTGAGCGGAGAAGGATATCGGGGATATGGCGAGGTACGGCGAAGTTGAACGAAGAGGACTGAGCGTGAGGCAGTGCAGGAGTTGAGGGACGTTCTATGAGAAGAGAGGAGTAGTATAGATAGTTTACAGATCGCTGAACTTCTTCAGCGATCCTTGATTGTTGTCAGTAGCGAGAGATATATTCAGTAGCTACAACCTTCGAGTTAAGGAGAGCTACCACCGAGCAGTTCAACGTACTACGGCGAAGTTAGCCGCAGTTCATCGACGATCATCTTATCATTTACCACTCGACGTATCACTACGGCGAAGTTAGCCGTAGTTCCTCGACGAGTACCCTGTCTTAGTGAGACATCGACGCCCCACTACGACGTAGTTAGCCGAGGTTTGTCGACCGTCGGTCAGTAGAGAAGAAGAAACGACGATTGTGACACGAAGTTAGGAAGATACGAAGTTAGGGAGATATGAAGTTAGGGAGGCACGAACTTTGTTGGGGACAAAGTTCGTAAGGTACAAAGCTCGGGACTTTGGGTTGAACGAAGTTCTGCGTTGAAGAAGTTAGGGAAGGACGAAGTACTTAAGGGCCGAAGTTCCCAGAGATCTTTGACGATCTCTGGTTGTTGTCTTAGTGATAGAAGTTAGTAAAGTACGAAGTTATTACACCCAGAAGTTATTGTCATTGTCACGAACTACGTCGTGACACCTCGATTACTCCACCAACAATGACCCTCCTTTGGCCATCAAAACCCCATCACGCCTTAACCTCTTTACTCTACACGTAACTCAGGACTTCTGACACCAAGTACGGCGAAGTTAGACGGAGTTAGGCTAAGTAGGGACAATGGGAGCAGAAGTACGGCGAAGTTAGACGGGGTTAGGCTAAGTAGGGACAATGGGAGCAGAAGTGCGGCGATGTTAGGCGGAGTTAGGCTAAGTAGGGACAATGGGAGCAGAAGTGCGGCGATGTTAGGCGGAGTTAGGCTAAGTAGGGACAATGGGAGCAGAAGTGCGGCGATGTTAGGCGGAGTTAGTCGAAGGAGGAAGAGGATGGCCGAGGGCTCGGGGAAGTTGGACGAAGTGCGTTGAAGTACGTCAAAGCGCGAGAGGGTTGGATGAACGTCTAGGAGGAGTAGATAATATTAGCTGAGAAGATCGCTGAAGTTCTTCAGCGATCCTTGATTGTTGTCAGTAGTGAAAGACAGATAGAGATAGCTATAAATCAAGATACATCGCCATCAGTAGAACAAAACCCTAGTTAGAGTAACTACGCCGAAGTACGCCGTAGTTACACCCCTTTCGACGTCTGCGCCCTCCTGGTTGGGTGAGACATCGACTCAGAGCGTGAAGTTAGCCGAGGTTCGTCGACCGTCGGTCTATTAAGAAATAGTTGTTCGACGGCCGTGACAGTATCAAGGATCGCTCTTACCGACGACCCGTGCGAACCTCGGAGAAGTACAAAGATAATATGGAACCAGAAAGAAGAATTACACGAGGGATGAGTAGGGATGGAGACAGGATGGAGGAGAACGAGAGGAGAGCATTGGAGGAGCTTAGCAGAGCAATGGGGCAGGACCTTGGAGTGGAGGATAGTGTGGGGGGATCAATTCAAGGAGATGAGTTCGTTCCACCGGTGCCTTCTAACCCTCCTTCTCCTCCGTCTAATGCTCTCCCACCTGCGGGATCCCCACTTGGATCAGACCAAACCCCACGCCCAAGAGAAAACACTGGAAGTACGGCGAACTTGGGAGAAGAAGGAACACAAGGGGTGGTGTTGGCCTTGATGCAGATGGTGGCGAATATGAACAAAGACATGATGGAGGAGAGAAGGCGTAGGGAGGAATGGGAACAGAGAAGAGAAAGGGATACAGTGGGCGGGATTGCAGAAGGGATATCAGAAGGAGTGAGGTACGCCATGGGACGGCAAACTTCGGCGACCCCAAGCGTAGTGGGCGAACAACGGAAGGGGATAAAGCTACCTAACCCAGACCTCTGGAGAGGAGATCGGAACAAGTTAACCGCCTTTCTGTCTGAGTGCGACGTACATTTCGAATTGAACTCTCATCTTTTCCCCGACGACACTAAGAAAGTCTTTTTCATGATCTCTCATCTACTCGAAACACCTCTTCTTGCAGTGCAGCCCGATCTATCCAAAAGACCTCTTCCTGAGTACCTCACGACACACGATCAGTTTGTTAAGTACCTCAAGACTAACTTTGGTGATCCAGACGAAGAAGGAACTGCGGCCCGACAACTTAACGACCTCAAGCAAACCGGGTCTGCTTCGGACTACTTCTCCGCCTTCCAGCGACATGTTGCGATTCTTAAGTGGTCTGATGATGGAAACCTAGTTGACCGAGCCAAGAAAGGACTAAAATCGCACCTTCTAGATGAAATTGCAAGACACGGTAGATCGTTTGGGACTGTGAAAGAGCTATTGGAGTTTGTGATTCCCTTGGACAACCGCCTGTGGAGGAGACAAGTGGAGAAGGAGGCAGAGAGGAAAAGGGAAGGAGGGATAAGGACAACGACAGTGGTGGAAAGTCAGAGGACGGAGAAGAAAGAAGAGAAGAAATGGGAAAAGGGGCAACCTTCGGCGCAGGGTGGTGTCCAGGCGGCTATGATGTCGACGGTGGTAAAGAGTACACCGCCAAACATCGACGAAGTTCGCCGAAGATGGCCTAGGCCGAGCTCCGATCTGAGGGAGACAAGGAGGAAAGAGGGGAAGTGTACCGAGTGTGGTGAAGCAGGACATTGGCTGAAGGAATGCCCTGTAAGGGAGGCTAAGGTTAAGGTTGGACTGTTGCCTCCATGGGGGGGGAAGTTCGGAGAACGTGGTGGAGGATCGGGAGGGAACGCAGTACCTCTCGGACAGAGGAGGAACTTGAATGCGGTTGGAGGAGAAGTAGATTTGGAAGAGGACCAGGGAAAAGAAGAGGACCTGTCGCAGTAGGCGAGGCTCGGCGGGTCCGCCATATTCTCTCGGCCACCATTCCCAAACCCATAAAAGAAACACAGCTGATGGAGCCAGAGGATTGTGAATACAAAAATACACCACTCAGTACCCCTTGTTCATGCAATGTCGATGATCATCTCCTCATCCCTTCCGTTTCCAGAGATCAACCTAAATCGGACATTTTCATTAATGGAATAAAGCTAACTACGCTCTGGGACACTGGAGCTACTTGTTCATATATAAGCCCTAGGGCGGCAGCGAAGATAGGTGTAGAAAAGAGGCGATATCAGGTGAGCGTACCCGTTCACATGTTCGACGGCTCGGTGAGTGTCGCTGGACCCATCACCGAGTTTGTCGAAGTCGGATTTAGTTTGACGAAGGACGCCGAAGTGCGATCTGTTTGTCTCGATGTAACAACGCTCTGCGACGCAGATGTTGTGATAGGGTGGGATTGGATGAGGAAGGAAGGGGTTGTCCTTGATGGAAGAGACAACTCGGTGAAATTTCCCATCCCAACCCCACCAAGTGCGGCGAAGTTAGCGGCCATAGGGCTGCCGACTCCGACGGACGCGATAGACCTCCGCGGCGAAGATGAGCTTGAAGAGCTGAGCCCGGAGGAACAAGACGAGTTGTTCCAGGTAGTTCCTGAACAATACCACCAGTACATTGACGTTTTTAATCCGAAGAAGGGCGGAGAGACCCTTCCCCCTTCAAGGTCCTACGATTTGAAGTTTGAGCTTAAGGAGGGGGCGAACCTTAAGGTCGCCTCCCTCTATGCTCAAGGAGAAGATCAGAGACGCGCGCTGAGAGACATACTAGATCGCGAAATCGCCGCTGGCCGAATTCGGGCAAGTAACTCGCCATACGGCTCACCAATGTTTATGATACCGAAGAAAGCCGAAGGACAATGGCGAATGGTCATCGACTATCGAAAACTGAACGAAGCGACCATACCAGATGCCTACCCTCTCCCTCTAATAGGTCAAATTACTGAGGAACTTGGAAAAGCAAGGTATCTCAGCAAACTAGATCTAATG